GTCATTCTAGCTCATAGCAATCTCAAACTCCTGGGCTCAAGCAATCCTTCTGCCTCAGCCTCCCGAGTAGCTGGGACTACAGGCATGCACCACCATGCCCGGCTAATTTCTTCCATATATTTTTTAGTTGTCTGGATAATTTTTTTCTATTTTTTTTTAGTAGAGATGGGGTCTCGCTCTTGCTCGGGCTGGTCTCGAACTCCTGACTTCGAGTGATCCTCCTGCCTTGGCCTCCCAGAGTGCTAGGATTACAGGCGTGAGCCACCGCATCCAGCCCAAGTGTGATATTTTAGATCTCAAACTTCATGTAAGAAGCACTCACTTGGCTATAAAATAGTTGTAATATTTTCAAACAATTTTAACCTGCTATATTAAGTGCTTATGAATTGACAGCAAAAGCCATAATAAATGCTCAAAGAGTGACATCCTGGATCAAGATACCTCACCTCAATGACTTAGAATAATATTACAATAAATATTATGAGGGTTTTATCAATAGATACAAAATCCACTTAAGGCTGTAAACATTATATAGAGATGTTAAATTGCTCAGAAATGGTAGTCATTAGCAATAACCTTTTTTCCCCGTTTTTGTTGCCTTACAATGCAATTTATTACATTTGAGTACTTAAATTCACACCTCTTAAAGTTATGATAAACTATACCAATCTGAAAGTGGGTTCTGTTATTGGGGAAATTGAATTTTAAAAACTACAGCAAAATGAAAATTGTCTATCTGTTCACCACAAAGAATAAGATCTTGGTCTCAGTATAGGGTGCTCTATGCAGCCATGAATACCACTGTTGGTTTGCCAGAGTATCCATGTTAGTGCTCTCCTTACCCATAATATCCAGACAGGTATGGGCATGTAAATCAGGTAGTTAATGTGAGTGTGGCACAAAGGTAGTGAGTTATCTGACTTGATTGTTCACAGATTGAACTCTTTGTTCTACTACTTTCCTCCCTTCTTTCTACTGCATTTGACCAGTCTTAAAAAAAAAATGCAGAGTGTGGTTTTAATGATGAAAAATGCTATATAAACATTATATAAAAGTAGCAAAAGTCATTGATTCAGGAATTGTTTGAATCATCCCTAGAACTTGTATTACATAGAACAGGAATACTATTTACCTCTTTGGTTACAGATCTTCTCTTCTACAAGAGTAAAGAAGAGCAACACAAAATAATCATCCTCAAATTCTGTGGTAGCGTTACTCTCGTTGAAATTTATTCAATATTTTCACTTTACAGTATATTGAGATTTCCATCCCTCATCCACCCGTGAGGATTTTAACTGTTTCATCATCAACATTTATTTTGTATTGAATTCCACCTCTCCCAAAAGCAAATTTTCTTTTCCTTTGCTCATCAAAAGAAAACAATTGAGTTTACTAGATTAAAGGTTTTGACCCACTTACCCTGTTTCCTTTTTTACCTATAATCCAATTGATCAACATTGGAGGAAGCATGACATTGGGAAATACTATCAGAATATTCTTGGTTCACTCAAAGTTATACAAATATAAGATTTTATATATGTCAATTTTTACATATTTCACTCTCAATACATGTGCATTGTGATAAATTATGCTCATCACAATGTGATTTTTGGAAGAAATGCAACCTAACACTTTACGTTGCCATAATTGTACTATTATACCTCCTTTTACTCATTTCTTAAGAACAACACATTTATAAATTACTCAATTATTTCCACTTTGATTCAATTTTGTATAAATTTTAGTTACCACAAATTCAAAAATTAGTATAGTCTGCGTTTATATGTATCTAATTCTAAATATTATTTAGAAAAAAATCTAATATCCTAATTTATGGAATAACAAGTCCTTCCAAAGCTATTAATTTCCTCAAAACATACAATAGAAATAAAAATAAAATAACCTAAGGTTATACAGCATCAAATAAGAGTATTCTATTGACATTAAGTCAGCATTCAGCATTACTGTAGGGTAGAAGTTTAAGTTATACAATTTTGCATCCTCAAAAATGACACTTTTTACATAACGATAAAAAGGTTTTTTTTCTAACAGTTATACTTTAAAGAGACTAGCCTGCACAAAAACAATACATTAAAAAACTAACTATGAGAGTCAAGTAGTTTCAAAGAGCAATTACTCATTAAGAAGCTTTGGCTAAACTGTAAATATAATAGCTCATTATTCCAACAGCTGAGGAAACTACTTGCTAAACCACAGTCCCCTCGAAACTACATGATGAGTAATGTAGCGACCACTGCCTCCAAGACACAGAACACGGGCAAAAACTTACCTTAAATGGAGATGACTTCAAACAGCCTTTGAAACCACTTCATCCTGCCATTTTGCTGTAATGACAAGGATGAAAACTACTGCCACAGCCTCACTGGTTTTCTGCTTCATTTACTGCAAAGGTTCTCTACTCTGCCGTGCATGGGTCACTTGGTGAGCCTCAAAACTTTGCAAGACAATTGTTCTGGGGTGGGCCTGGGGTGCTGGTGTGTCCAAAAGCTCTCCAGGTAATTCTAAGGCAGTCAGGGCTGTGACTCAATGATCTGCTGCTACAGCTGTTGCCTTGTTTTCCCAGCCTTCAGTTTCATCCTGTTGTGAGAGCCTTTGTGAATGCTGCCAGAATGCTCTTTCTCTAATGCCTACGGAATTGAATCCAAACTTCCGCACAAGTGTACAAGACTCCACATGACCCGCTCTCACCTGACCAGCTGCCTCTCCCCTACCCTCTCCCCACCAGTTCTAGAGGCCGTTGGTTTTCATGTGCTTGGCCCCAGACTCATGGCTTGGGCACTGACTGATTCTTTGCTCTGAAATGCTCTCCCCATTTATCTGCCTGGAGAACTGCACCTCCTCTGTGAAGACATTCCTGACATCCTGGCACCCATCTCTCCTTTGAGTGTCCTCAAAGCACCCTATGTACAGAGTTTTGGTGGGTTTTTTTTGTTGTTTTTCTAAGCATATCAAACTGTCATTTTCTAACATATGTCTCTTACACCTTCATTAAACTTTTTTGAGGCAGGGACTATATAACATTTGCTCTATGTCCCCCAAACTTAGCACACTGCCTAGCATATATTGGCATTCTATATTTTCTGAATAAATGAATGAATACCATTTTATACTATTTTCACTTATTATAGTCAGAGCTACGGGAGATTTACATTGGGACCACTGAAAAAGTCACACTTACACTTAAAAAAAAGCCTTACTATCTGATAACATTAATGACTATTATGACTCTGAAGATTAGCCTTTCAGTTAGGTTACCAGATGAATTTTCAACATGTTTAAAGTCAAAGAAAAAACTTTAATAACATCCTTCAGAGCACTCTCTTACCATCTATCTCCCCAAGCCACAGGTTTTCAGAATCACAGCTGATATATGCTCACCTTAGGCTCTGGTAAAGGAAGGAAGCCCCCTCAATGCCCACCACAAGTTGGCCTAATTTGGCTTCTCCCACCATGTGACATCTAACCCACAACTCTGGTGAACGAGCTTACTTTGTATTTGCTTTCTGATCTGGAAGGGGTGGGAATATGTCCTTTTTTCTTGAAGGTTGTAAAGTGCTTGCACTGAGGACATGGCTTGGTGCTGGAATCAATACGGCCAAGTTCCAAGAAGTACTTATACTTGATGGAGTCTTCATGTGTTAAGTTATAGACAACAGTTGTTTCTTCCAAGAATTCAAAACACTCTGTGATAGGGCATTTGATTTCTACTTGGCCAAGTTGTACCTGTGTGAAAGAGCAGATGGAAGAAAAAAAAAGCCACTGGTTATTAAGTTTCTTTGTGTGTGTGTCTGTGTGTGTGTGTGTGTGTGTGTGTGTGTGTGTAAATATCAATTATTGCTTATTTCATGACTGCAGTAAAGGATTATCTGTAATTTCTTAAGATCACATAATGAATGGTAATTGCCTTGATACCTGTATTAGGCAGTACTAAAATGTCTATCACTATATAATGTCTCCAAAATGATTTATAGGGTGTTTAAGTCTTCTCTGATCATTGTATTTGTGAACATCAATGGGCCTACACCACAGGCTCACCAAAGAAACAAATTTTATCCCATCCTTCTGGAAATGGCAGGGTGAAACTACGTTCAGAAAATGTGCCAACTACAGGAACTGCAGGGTGAGACAGCATTTGGACCATGTGCCAACTAAAAGGTGTTTCGGATTTTCAACCTCACTACAGAGTACTTCAGCACTAAACTTCAGGCACGGTTTATTACTTTAAAAGGAAAAAAGAGAGATTTTTGTAAAGTACAATATCTAGTAGCTTAAAAACTATTACCAAAAACAACCGTTTCCCCTGACCCTTCCATGTCAAGAATATGAAGTAGTTTCTATGTCAGCAAAATCACCGGAACAAGTAAGAAAATTAAGCCAACTACAACAATGTAACAAAACAAAAAAATCCGTAGGAGATCTGGCTGCTACTGAGGTAATTTACAAAATTAATGTATTCAAAGGACCACAGAGATAGATTAGGAGAGGAGAGAGCATATATCTGAATGCTACATTTAGCATTCGGTATGGGATACCAGATATGGCTAGTATTAAAGATGATGGTAAAAGATTAAAGCACAAAGTGTAGACACAACTAATCTTTAAAAGATGAAGAAAATAAACCACTTTGAAATAGGAAGTAGCTAGAGTGTTTTCCATAAGCAGTGAACATTAACTCTTTATCTTCTTGGCATCATAACCTCTTTTTGTCCTTCCTAACGTAGTAAAGGGAGGCACTCAACACTCCAAATGGAAAACAGTGCTGAACCTTTCTTTTTTCACTTGGATAAGTCTGACTTTCTGAGAAATCAAAACACAACCACCTGCATGAGAAAAGCACTCTATGAAGACTCAGGCAGTAATGGGGGAAAGCCACTACGGTCTGGGGAAAGAAAAACATCACTACACAGAGCCATTTAAAAGAAAAACTAAAAAGAAAAACCAAATTCATAGTCACTTTTAACTTTGCTCTTTATCTGGCACGAACTTGAGGAAAAGTAGTTAAGAAGTTACAGGATGAAGGATACACGGGAATGACATGTTTAATACCAGTAAAGGACATAAGCTAAATGGATAATGAAATGGAAGAGTCTGGTTTGAATAAACCACCTTATTAGTATTGACCTGTTGAAAGTATAAATGGCTGCAGAATTTTATGCTACTATTATACAAAACATGGGCCAGAGAGATTTTTAAAAAATATTTGCCCAATTTTTCTACTTTTTTTTTTTTATTTCAGCATATTATGGGCATACAGATGTTTAGGTTACGTATGTTGCCCTTGCCCCCCGCTCCCCGCCCCAAGTCCGAGCTTCAAGCGTACCCATCCCCTGGATGGTGCACATTGCACTCTTTGTGTATGCATATACCCGTCCCCTTCTCCCCCCTGCCCGACATCCAATAAATGTTATTCTTACATGTGCA